CTCTACACAACCCCCACATTTGACAATACAATCGAGACTGGTCTCAAAGTTGGATTTTTGAATGCAAAATTGCTCTACATGCTGATATCAATGGGGAAGTTTGCAGGAAGAATTCGAGAACAGGCGTGCTAGATATCAGCTTCTAACTGATATCACGGATAAGGTTAAAGGTGATTGGCTTTGCGAGTTTCTAGTGATTCATCAAATAATGCTAATCACTAGAAGAATTAGAGTTATGGATAATAAGTTCAGCATGGAAAAAAAAGAATTTGAAAAAGAGGAGGAGGAATCCCAAAATGAAGTCTAAAGGCTGCGTGAGCGGTGACTTGTTCAGCGGCAGCAGCGAAGACATTATCTAATCCAAGCCCAACGAAACTAAAAATGGCAAAGAGCCAGTAAAACTGAACGCCGACAAATTTAGAGCTACAGACAATTGTTCGCCCATATTATGCGGTGCCACTGCGATGCTACTTTGTCCGCACCTGGCTAGACATTCTCAAAACTGGTTGTAAATCTTGTAAAAAACGAAGGTCCAGAGAAATTGCAGAACAGAATAATAAATTGATGGACCAGATGCTTTCAGAAATGGATGGTTATGTAACATAATTCGTGGCCAGAAGATTAAACCACCACGAACGAAAGAGAAAGCGCACAAAAAAGGGGCAAACAATTTGGTAAGGCGACAAACATCGGGTGCTTTAGACGGAGTGCCATCGAAGGTGCTGCGCAAAGAGTGTCACGATTACCTACTGGTTCCTTTATGAGGATATCTCACCTGGCAGAAAAAGGAACAGGGAAGGTCGTAGTTCAATTTACTCCTCTTTCGGCTAGTCGTTTATGTCCCCTTGCTTACTGAATTAGATCTGATCCCTCTTTGATGCGTTCGAACGCCAGGAATATATACATTTTTCAGATAGGGAATAGCAGTATTATGAGAGTAGAGTGGAAACCAACAGAACATCAGATAGATCGACCCTAGAACTGGTGTTGCAAGCCATCTTCTGCTTCTTACACGACAAGCATGCCACTAATTTGAGGTGACAGTCGACGTTTTTGAAGGACGTTTAATTAGCAAAGAGGAAGCCACGAATACATGCAGAGATGCACCAATCTTGCGCTATTTTCATCATCCAAACGTTGAGAATTCTAGAATAATGTTGAGGAATAGTGGGCTATATGGGTCTCGTTCTACTTATGGTTAGAACGACATAAATCTCCTCCGAATCTCTGCAAAGATGGGATCCCGGGAAATTATGTCCCCTTCCCTTACAGCGGGAACCTGTCAGTAATCGATGGGCGTGGCTAACGGTAGCTCAGCACAGAACGTGTTTGAACAACCGTGAATGGTAACTAATGAAAAAAGCGCTTTTTTCTCGAGCATACCGCCCAATCAAAGAAATTGATATTGATACTATACTATACTGATTGCGATATGTAATTTCCGCATATGTTATGCGCATACAATTGAGTAGGGTCTTATTTCTATGTAAACCTTCAGAACAGCCCGAAAAAAAAGCTTAACTTTTGTGAAATTTCAAGTAGACACTTCTCGAACACTTCCATACACCCTTTATATAAAGACCAGAACTTATCCATCTTATCTCGAAACCACAAAATCAAAACGGAGAAGTCAAAAAATATAATGAACAAATAGGAAGTCATATATTGATGTATCGAATATTTTCTGACTCTCTGAAAGTTATTAGACAGGTTTATTCAACAGACAGATGTATGAATACTTGTTTGTTGGGTTTAAAGAGCGTTTGGAAGGTAATCGAGAATCGTGCAAATATTATGGAAGGTCGAAGAAAAAAGAACATGACCAAATGGAGGTGTTTGCTAACCGGATCGTGTTCAATGTACAAATAGTAACAAAGAACGACTTAGCTGTCAAAAATGGACTGACAAAAGAGCTCCCATTCACTGAAACTGAATGGCTTATGAAAACGATTGCGGCCTTTATAGAACCAATAAATTTGTAGTATGTATGTTATGTTTCAGTTACAATCAGGTTTCCCGATGATGGAACGGTTTTCTGCGACCGACAAACAAATCAGACAGTTTCAATCGAATCAACGCTCTAAATGAACGAAATGTTTAGTACTGGCGAACCAGTTCTCGGGTATTCGGAAATAAGGCCGAGGGGACTTAAACACTCGGTATGATAAACATAAACTTCAAAAGGAAACAAGTTGGCACAACAGTAAAGAATGTAATTGCATGATTTCTGGAAAATTCCATAATACAACAACCCTGCGTAGTTGGGGTATATATAAAGAGACTAGTTCGGAGAGTAATAAGGAATTTCTCATTGAGCTAAGGAAAACTGAAACATCCAGTTTCAAAATTGCTACCGGGGCACTGTGATCAGACCAAACGTTCCACTTCCCAATATACTGAAGAGAAATAGTAGCTGAAGTCTGAAATTCGGACTCCGCGCGCGGCACTGCCGCCCGCTCGGATGGTATGTTGATAGGTTGACATGCCATGAATGTCTCGCGCGCGACGAACAACGCCAACTATGCGCGCATACTGGCTGACGTTTTACACACACTTAGTCAACCCCAGGGACCGTAAGGTATGCTCTCCTGTTCGGAGCTGGGACGCCCCAATTCGGGTCTCTCTTCTCTTTGCTCTCCCCGGAAGCATCTATCTCTCTGCTCTCCCCGAGAGCATACCTTACCGGGAATGGGACTCTCCCCTGTTCGGGGGAGCATACATTACGGCCCCAGAAGATTCTAAAATGTTTCAGGACCTGTCGCACAGAAACTTGCTCAGTTCATCGTGTTAGGACCCATCATCTCCTGCAAATAAGAGGTGCAGGGTTTCAATTCAATGAACTGGCCCCATTTTGGCATGCTGACGATGATGACCCTTGTCCAAACTTTGCCCGTGTTTCTTAACATGATGGAAAACTACCACGTGGTTCAGATATGTTCGACTCAACGCGCACAGCTCTACGCTTGTAAAACTTTACCAGACTTTATATTCAAATTACTATGTTATTGTACTTGACACTAGCACTACCGCACCGTAGATTTTATATCGGGGAACTCTACATTATAAGCTTTTGAAAAAAAACAGTAATACTCATGAGCTGCTGAGACCGCATAGAAGTGCTTATATTTGTTTCAAGAGACTGTTGCTGTTAATTCTAGAAGTGAGCCATGAAGGAATTCTTATATGTATCTACATAAAACAATGCATTCATAATGATAAGACGGCGAGGTGAGACTAGACTTTTTGGGAATCGCACTGATAACCATGGGCAGCAAGTCACAGTATATACACGTGAAGCGCCCATAACCGAGTAATAACCGTAATAACAAAGTAAATAAATTATAATATCAAATAAAATAAACAAGAAACAAGAACGAGTAATCCCATATAATCTTAACCGCCTTCTTTGCCATCATAGGAAACGAAAACCAGGTGCAGTTCCGAACCCGTTTTACTATACCGCCTCTTTTTATTGATTAACAATATCCTATGTAAAATAATAGATTCAATTGCTAAGTTGTTCCAACTAACATACTCAGTCTATGACTCCACGTTTTCAGTGATTATTTACCACTGATACTACAGAAGTCATTTACGTCTAGACTGAATCCTTGCTCTCAAAGCCCAAAGGAACTTGGACGTAAAAGCTTTTGCAGGGGCGAAGCAATTACGGAACACGATGAGGGGAGCTTTCTCGTCTATGAACATTGGATTATTTTAAGCATAGAATGACGTGAACCATGCCTGACACCTATTACCTGTGGAAAAATGAACGTAGCGTAGAAATGGGAACCTAAGAAGATGGATGATGAGGAGAATGTTGAGCAATGAAGATCCAGTGTCGCCGTGGGGCGGCGTACGAGAACTCAAAAAGCGAACAAGCAAAGAAAAAGTCCCAAAAAAATACAGTCACAAAAAATGCAAGGAAAATCAGGAAAGAATGGGCACCTACTGACTGCTATTTAAATCTGACAGACTACCGGAGGTTGTTCCTAAAGTGACAGCTGCCCGACAACAACACCAGTACAGAACAAAGGAAATTTCTGCTTTATGCCGTCCTGTACGGTTCATACTGTCGAGCAGATTTTATAAATAAAGTTTGAACTCATATTATTACTTCACAATACCTAAATTATTAAATCCAGTTTCCCAATAAAGTATGTTAACGGTAGCACAATGCGATAACATAAAGCGTGGGAACAAAACTAATAAATTTTCAAAAATCCTACTGGACTGTTACAAATAAATTTTGGAAACGTCAATGACCGACCATTGTTGAGAGTTTGGAGAGCTGAACGGAATTCATCTAGCAGGACAACAATAAAAATCGCCGCGGGCTGTGAACATGTGGGGGAAGACGTGTGGTGGGAATTATTTGGCTCGTGGTGTGTAATTAATATCGATCAAATAGGTCATCACATACAAGTAGATACCTTACCGGATTCTGTGTTTTTGTCTTCATAGCTTAACAGTTAATTGCAAACGACAGCGCTTGCCGAATACTTGGGAACTTCCGGAAAAATTGTGGAACCTGAAGAAGGCCAGTTATATTGCACCTTCCTGTTCTTCAGATTTCAGCGACCTGCCAATTTCGCCCCTCTTGTCTACCCTTTTCTTTCAAGGCTGAATGAATAGGAAATGTGCACGCAAGAGCATCCACATTACCTAATCGTATTACAGTGCATGGTGGAGCTATCAGGCGATAGTACAATATGTCTTTCATCTCTATGGAGCTAGCTCACAATCAGTGCTAGCAGGCTCACTATGTGGATGTTTAGTGACTGCTTTAGTAACCACTTTCTTCCCCGAAACACTTTTAAAAAGAGCACAACACCATCTTCAGCTCGGAACAAAATGTAGCAGAAGCAGCTCCGAATAACTGTCACAAATAAACACAAGAAACACAAGAAATGTAATTCTTTACTTAAATGTTAATTGAACACCGAGCAATATAGCTTAGACAATTATCAACCTAAAAACGACATCTACATAAATGGCGATCACAACCCTTTATTGTAATAGACGTATTCTGGAGGATTTTTCAGCAGGGCTATTTTCTGCTGCAGTTCAGGTTCAAGTTGCTTCACCTGTAATAAAATATACACATAAGATCATGGATTTCTTTGCTTCAGTGACATCATATTATGTGTCAAACAATCTCTCTCGGAAAGAATTCTTCATCAGGGTAAGAAATTGGAGGCATGACCGTGATTGCTGCAGAGAAACTAGCTCGTCGACCTGACTGGATACGAACCGTTTTTACCAAATTTCCCATCTTACCATAAATCTAGAGAAGGTAATTTTTCAACAAGACGCTTATCTTTCTTTCTATCACTCCTCTGCTTTGCACATTCATATTTAGGGTATTAAAATGAACGGTACGGCAAATAGTAACATGCAATGGGATAGTGGTATAAGATGTAGATGCATGCCTAGCA